AGGAAGTGTCTGGAGAGAGGGAAGTCTGGGCATCTTTGCTTAGACTGTTGCCCCCGCGACCCGGTCCCAGATAAGCGGAGGAAAATGGATGGATGAATGGATAGTGACACGCTGCTGAGGGGTGTCACAATATAAAGACATTGAGCTTGGCAGTGAAGAAACATCTTCACTGAAGCCTGTTTCCAAGTCACTGGGAAGGAAGGGCAGAAGAAGTGAAAAACAAAGCTGTTAAATATGAGCCGGTGAAAGGCATTTTACATCAAATACCTTGGGCCACACGTATCTGTGAGGCCTGCAGCCTGTAATAATGGCCTTGCATCATGGAATAAAGCTTCAGTATGATGGAGTGGGGCGGAGTTGGGGTGAAGCGCTTCTGTACCAGCAAGGTTAAAGCCACTGACAAAGGAGGAAGTCATAACTATCACACAGAGGCCAACTGAGGGTCCAGATGGTACTGGGACACACACTCATGCACATGCATGCAGAAAATGTCATCATATCTGTTCTGACAAGTTATTTATCACAGAGGCTTTTTTTTTTATCTCTGAGTGATAAGCTGAACATGTGATTAGAGGAGGAAAAAAAAGCACAAGCGAAGGAGAAGTGATAAAAAAGCTATTAACTAGATATCAGTGGAAAGTCAGGGACACCTACCCTCTGCTCCTGTGTGGCTACGAAGGTCTGGAAACCGGGGGCCACGCCAAAGCCCAGCTCGTGAACAAAAGGGGGCTCCGCCTGGCTGTGGATCTGCACGCGCACACCTGCCTCGAAGGCTGTATCCTCTGTAAGACAGATGGGAGGATCCGGTTAGCTGATTTATTCAATGAATAAACAAACAGCAATGTGCAAGAAGAAAAAAAAAGCTTTAAATGTTTTTGGGTTTGACTGATGCTGATAAAGTGCTGAGGGAATAGAGAAGCAGAAAAAAGCTGTTTACATTCAACAGATACTGTTGCAGAGAGTCAAATGCTGAATTCCCTGTTTGAAAGAACCTTTTAGCAATGCATTCTGGGGCTTTCAGCTCAAACAACATAGGCTTTTAAGACTGTCTTTACTAAAACACACATGCTCAGAGGAGTGCCATTCCATCTGCAATGAACATCAAAAACAGGTAAGCTCGGACAAAGGGCTCGGCACGGATTTCTATCCTGCCATTCAGAGCAAGTACAAAGAGCCACAACATTTGAGGAAAAAAAAAGAATCAGCCTTTGTAAAGAGTGATCATGTTCTCTCTCCGTGTCCTCACATTTACTACAGTGAAGGTTTCCCCTGCCAGTCGATCAGGGTCCTTACAGCACCGCCAGCCTCAGGAAGTGGCAGACCAGACACATACAAACACTCACAGAGCAGTATCACATGATATGCTCAGTCAATAAATAAAAAAAACATTTGTAGCATTTGATGCTGTGATGGCTTGGAGACCTTATGGTGTTATCCAGTCTACTGGTGCCTACTGGTTGCTCCAGTCAAAAAGGCCAAATGAGACCAAACCAGGTAAACAATTAATCATAAAACAACTTTTCAAGGATCAATTCTGGTCATAAACCTGATACTTCAGCAAAGCAGACTAAAGCAGGTGTAATCAAAATAGACAAACTCAAGCGAAATGAAAAAACAGGTCATTTATTTAGTGTAGTTTTATTTTTAGCTGTGGGCATTGTCATGCTGAATCATGAAATGGCACTGTTTGAAACAGCACTGAGACCTAAGATCATGTTGAGAGTGACATTAGCCCTTGTTCATTTCAATAAGACAAGTCCACTGGTGCAGCAGAGGTGCTAATGCAGCAGAAATGTTGAACCAATCAAAAAACCGACACGACGCCACCACACACATGCAAGTGAACATTCCTGGTAGAATATTTTGTGATGTGAATACCATATTTCTACTGTTTCCACCTTGCAGCCACAGTGATAATTACTGGGATTTGTAAAATTTTGCCTGTGAGAATTATAAACTGGTGTGCAGTGTTTTAGTGTCTCATAAGCCTTTAGACACATTAATCTGTAACTCAAATGGGCCATATTTTATTATCATGCATGAAACAACACAGCCCCACCAGTGCAGGCTGCTGTGCTGCTCCAATGCATGGATGGCTTCTGTCTGAATGGTCGCTCACAGTCAAGACCAAACCTTGAAAAACATCCCTTGACAAAAATACACAAAAATAGGTGGATGAAGGTAGCCCTCATGTGTCACTGATGACTTAATTCTACTGCCATTTCATAATAGTTGGATATGCAATGTGTTCATGCAGCATGTTAAAGGAAGACACGGTATTCAACAATACAGTATGTTTTTGTAACAGGTACTGGGTAATTGCTCCATTAGCAGCTACAGCACAGCTAGACCTTTCATAATTAGCCACTGTTGTCCAAAAACTATTAAAAACATATTTTATAAAAAGCCATTCTGTTGCACTGGGTGACATATTTCTTCATTACAATGAATGCTAAACAGTGTAAACAAAGAACCGCAGCCCTGAAACTGCACAGCTTTGTCTGCACAACATTGAACTAGAGACACTGTTCATGTGATGAAGGTGCAACTGCGTGGCTCTCTAGTGTGTATTAATGGTGTTTGTATGACAATTAAGCTCTGTAGCAAAGAGGTAAAAGGTATCAGGCTGTGACTGCATATACTATACTATACTATACTATACTAGTAGCATAACTTCATCACTGGTTTTGGCAAGTGAGTGTGTTAGTAATATAAAGTTAGAATAACATCAGCTACATCCTTTAAGAAGCTTGTGTATAGACTGCAATAACACTGTTGCTAAAAACAGCGGTGTGGCTCTTTGTAATCAGTTATCAGCACTAATTTGTTCAGGTGTTAAGTGTTTGGACATTTGTCAGCCAAAACACTTGCTCTTACACAAGTAACCATATGATTATATAGTGGCTTTGTATATTGAATATATTAGATATTGGTATATTGGAGATTAATAAAAAGATATATATATATATATAAAACTTAAGAAAAATTTTATTCATTCATTGATACAAGTGGCATTCACGATGAACAATCTTCAACAATGATGTGTGAAAATAAGTGTAATTTGAAAATGTCATGGGTTGTTATTTATAGTGGGAACAACATGACTGTATAACAGGAGTAAGAAAAAAGGCATCTAAAGATAAAATACAGCTGGGGTATAGTCCAGGATACAGGGACCTGGCAACCCACTGAGGTTAGTTCAGAGTAGTTAAACCTACAGTATGTTAGGTGATCTAACATTGCTCTGAGCATGTAATATCATATTTATATCTCTTTGTCTTTTTTACATTGTGCATTTGTAATGTTTGTATTTCTCTTAAGCAGGATGCACGTTGTATAGGGCGAGGTTCATGCCACTTTTATATTGAATCTACTTGTTGCTGAATAATGTCTTAGCTGGACTAAAGAATAACATCATGTCACAGCCAGGCTGAGGAAAGTACTGTGACTCCAGATGTGGAGCCTATATAGATGTAAACAAGTCTGGGCTCCCAGTGACCTAAGGAAAACTTATACAATATTATTTAGGGAGACAGTCAGGATAGAGAGGCGTCTCATAAACTATGAAAACATTATAAATAAAGGAAAGTCTTTGTACTGGAACTGAGCTCGCCAGTAAAGCCAGGAACCTGAGAATGAATGGTCTTTCCTGAGTTCTTCTGATATCTGCTCAAGCCTCTAACCCTTTAAACCTAGGACTACTAAAGTTAGGACTAGAGGTCCACTTGATTCCTTTTAAACAAGTCCTGATGTGGGGCTGCAGTTTGGTTTGGTCTCTCCCTGTTATTTGTCATGGCGTTTACCAGTCGTGACACATTTAAAATATTTTCCAGCAACCACAACAACTGTTAAAATAAGGAGGAAGCTGTTATTAACTAAAATGATCTCACCAGTGTCTTTAGTCAAGCCAGTAAAGGTGCTAATGGGAAGACAGTGAGGAAGACTTCAGGAAGAAGACAGCCTATAAGAATCTAAACTTACAGTCCATAGCTGAATGCATTCTTCCCCCTGAGCCTAAAACCTTGGTTAGAAACCTAGACTGTTTATCCATAGAAAGGCTCATCTTAACATGTTAACGTGAGGCTGAGCTGGACTCTTGTACTGCCAGTGTTGGTGCTGTTTATTTTGTGTTTTCTAATCTTGTGATTTATTTTGTAACATTTGTGTACCATTTATTATTGCTGAAGATAAAGAAAAGCAGCATATTTTCATAACTGCAACAATCAAATGTTTGGCGTTTTGCTTTAAGAATAACTCAGCTGACTTATCAGTTAATCTACTAATTCTTTCGGTTTGGATTCCCAGCCAGTTTCCCAGCATTATAATAGTTCATCCGCTAGATTAACCTCGCTTCTGAAGGAAAAAAGTGATAAGTTGCAAGACTGGTTTCATTCTGTCTGAGACTTTAATTTCTTACAAGACCTCAATTTGTACAAAAACAAGCCACAGCACATGAGACAATGAAAATGAGGGTGAAAATGAAAGATTTCAATTTGCACACTGTATCATTCTCTGAAGAAACAATGATAACGTGTGTGTATAGCCTTGTTTCTCTGTACTTGTGGGGATCAAAAACCAGGAGCACGCTAGCTTTGCAGGGACCAGAGGCTGTTAAGGTTAGGGGACGTCTCCCGGAAATGAATACAAGTCTCTGTATGGACCCATTAAGTGGCAAAATCAAGGATGTGTGTATGTGTGTGTGAGTGTGTGACAGACCTCAGGGAAAACTGGCTTCCCTGTGCTTGTTTGTGCTTCAGTTTAGCTATCCTTATCAAAAAATGATCAAGCGAACCCTGGATAATGATATTTGTTCCTCCATGGCTTCAGTAGAAACAAAGATCGGTCCACAGACTTGTAGTTACAATATATTTCACCAGCCTTATCACACTCGTTTGATTTAGAATGACTCAATAATGTAAGAGAGGTGGACTAAATTAGGATGCTATCAGCAGCTAACATCATAACTTAGAACTTGCTGCTTAGTGAGTACATGCAGGTGGTTCTCCTTTCCCCTCCGTTCTTCTTCGGCATTCTAAGTGATTCTTGCAGAGGAGGAAAGGATCAACTGGATAAATGAGAAAAGTCTGTGTATGTTCATATGTAGATGCCATTTTGTTTAAAATAAAAATTTTAATGTAACATGCTACCTGGCAATTCTTCCTGGTTGTCGGAGGATTTGCGTTAATGTGAACCCTTATTTAAACATCTTTGTAGAGTACTGAGACTTTCTGTCCACGTGCCTGCCACACAGCTACACCTCCAGGCACGTTTGGCATTAATAACGCAGCCTCACTACTTCCTTTCCATTTCACATTTCACCAGCTACTGTCACAGTCAGGGCCCAGCATGTCAGACCTGGTCTGTGCTCTTCTTATTATATTATATTATATTCAGCCTTAAGCAAAATTTCATGTCTACTGTAAGTGAGCCTAACAAAGCTATCATCAAAATTTACATACAGACTCACACTTACTAACAGAATTTGTTTGATAGTTTCATTTACTTCTCTCATTTTTAATATATTTTCTTTTCCCACACTGGCAGTGTACTTAATTATGTAACTATAGGGTTTGCAATGTCTGTCAGGATCTGTTTGATTCACCACTTTGGCACACATTCAAATACTGTATCTCAGCAGCTAAGTTTTGTATGTCAAATGCTATGTTTAATAACTAAATATTTGTGTTTGGTGCTAACAGGCAAAAGTTAGCATGCTAACATGCTATATTGTGAACCAGGTAAACATTATACCTG